AGTGCATCACGTTCAGAGTTTGGTTTGAGCTGTATTACCAGGTCTGAAGTAACAGTTCCAAACTCATGAAATAAGTATCAGTGTGATAAGATGAACCTTTTTTCTTGTTGATGGGTTTTTTGCTAAAACACTTGCAGTTTTCTGAAATCTTTTTTGAAAAATAAAAGCAGCCCTCCGGGATGAGGCCATGTGTTGCAGACTTCATCTGCAGAGCTCCTTCGTCTGTATGACCAGTTACCTGAGGAAAGGGTGTTTGTAGTGATCTCCTTTGAATAAATTATGTTTAGAGATTTACCTTCCAAGTTGTGGATTTCAGTGCTGTGGATTAGGCAAGTGTGTACAAATATATTGTAAGGTTGTTTGCATATTATCTTCCTGTAAAATGTTCAGTAATCCGGAGCCACTTAAGTGGATTATCCCAGACCTGCCTGTGCTGTTTGCTTACAAGCAGCTTGGTCCTTCCCTAAACCCTTCACTAGGTATTTACTGGTGCTGCTCAGCTTCCTGGCCTCCATGCATGGGTGTTATCAAGGCAACAAGGTTGACACGAGTGCAGCAAAGAAGTAGACAGATATTTAATAGACATAGGAGCCAGCAAGGAGGAGTGGTTTTACTATAGTAGCATTTTAATCTTGTTCTCTAAACGAAAGGGGATTTACTTATTCATGGCCCAAGAATGACAAATTAACATGTAGAACTAGAGTTAGGACTGCGGGCACTAGAAATTCATATGATCCAGTGTATTTATTGTTTTAATTGTCTGTATTTCCTTTGCTTTGAGGGATCCATGTGATGGTCACTGCCACATCTGTCTCAGATTCCTCATCCTTAAGAGTAGCCCTAAACAGAGAGCGTTACAGAAGTATCTCATTAGGAAGGAGGCGTTGCAGTCTTTCATGTAGCTGTGGATGACAAAAGCCACTGTGTTCACCCTGCTGCCGGAGAAGCCATCGGCGCGGTCGGACTCGCTAGGTCACCCACTCGCCAGCCATTTCCATGGAGAGCTTGGGCACTTGTGTCTCCTTCATAGTTAACAGGAAAATCTCACTTGCTGGAAGAGCTAGTCATCACAGATCATTATGAGAAGCTGGAAGGCTAGGTAAAAATCCAAAGGAGGAACTCAAATAGATGAGGGCCACGGCAGTCCAAGTGTTCCTGGGTCAGCAGCGTTATCCACAAACTCCCTGGGAGGGCCGAGAGGGGGTCTAGCTGGGCCTGCCTTAATATAGTCTGCTCTTCCTCTGCAGCCACCCCCATGCTCAGTCTCTGAGGTCTGACCAGGCTAACTGTGCCAATGTGCAGAAAACCTTGATATTTACCTGCTACCCCCTGTCTATTCCTGTAGCAGATGCCTTGGGTATAGAAATTCCACCAGGAGCAGTCCCATGACTCCCATGTGGGATATTTGGACCCTTCCACACCCCTGTCCCCTTCCTGTAGAATCTAAATGAGCTAAGCTTGTGGTGAGGGACCCAGAAGGGATCACAGCACCACAGAACCCAAAATATATTGGAAATATGTTTTGGTAAAAGAGGACAGCTTAAAATAGGCAATATATGCAGCATTAGCAGATGCTTGTGGATACAGTGACAGAAAAGTGAGGTTATCTGGCTTGATTCAGGTCCCAGAGCGGCTCCGTGTCCTAGGGCACCCATGTCCGAGTCCAGTGGCTTCACTGAGGGCCTTGAGAAAAACTAATACCCAAGAATGGAGTAATTAGCTCGCAGGTGGCTCCACAGTGAGTCCCTGTGCGGGGGGATCCGACATTCAGGGCAGGAGTTCTGATTCTGTGAAAACAGAACAAAAGTGACTAGGAAAATTAACGGGATGAGCTAGTCTGTATTTTCTTTTGTGATTATATTACTTGGGGAAGGACAAACCATTTGGGGATAGGACAGTGAATGACTATGATTACACTCAGCAAAAGCTTAAATACTGACTTGCCTCTAGCGTGTCAGGAATCTGTTTCATAGCGATAATTTACTTCCCTAATTACCTGCAATTGATTTTGCATGAGAGTCAGATTGAGATTATTACAAGATAGGAAAACACCGTCAAACAACTGCTAATTTGAAGAAGTTTTGAAATCAGCCAACCTTAAAACAACTTTGCGTTATATATAGAATGAAGCAGAAAAATAAAAATCTTGTCCCCGTGAATAAGGTGCTTTGGAATTGGCTGCCACAAGTTTGTCTTATATATGCCAATTGACAAATATGTCCAATAATAGTAGAGGCAGCAACTGTTCTGCAGCTCTGCCAGTGTTCATCAGACACAGTGACAGTAGCCACATCATTAATCTCACGGTATATTAGAAATAAAGTCACTGGAATGGAATGGTGTCAAAGGATAAATGTTTCTCCCTTTGAAAATAAACTTCTCAGTTTCACCTCATTGTGTTGTCTTTTTTTTTTCTCCTTTCCACCCTCCCTTCAATAAATCCTTTGGTTTCACCTGGCATTTAGGTAACAGTAGGAGAGCAATATCCTATGACAGAGCTCGCTCTGCAGTTATCAGTTTAGCATACCCTTAAATCCCCACAATTACCGTGCCAAGACCAATCCTCTCCCTTAGAGGTTAAACATATGCATTACATATTGAAACAATGTAAGTAGCATGTAATTAGCCTTGTTTAGGCGTTCTCACTTTAAATTATACTTTACAACCTTTGATGTTTTTCAAGCCATGCAATGTTAAAGAGACTTAAAAGATCTCTGTCTTTTCATTTTTAACTTTATTCATAAAAAAAAATCTGTATATATATTTGTTTTATTAGATTGCCTGTGATGAACCAGCATACACATTCCTGCCTTAGAGGATATTGTACCAAATCAAATATTCTTTAAATTATAAATCCCATGTTCATTGCAATTAAATTTACAAACGGTATCATTGACACCTGTAACAAAAGATGTTGAAGGGGGGAGGCTTTTTCCTTTTTTTTTTTTTTTTTTTTTTTTTTTTTTTTAAATCCTTTTTTTAAAGTCTTGTTCCGTAAGGATTATAGCTCCCCCGCTGTTTGGAAAAGATAATTTCACTTGTAACACTAATAACTTGAGCAGGGAGAAGGCTGGCTCAGTGAATGGAATGCACTTCACTGCACATCTTGGCTTCGCTAGAAATCGGAAACAGATGGTCCTTGCGGCTGGCTTCCCACTCGGGCCCGCGCCGTGCCAGCCTGTGGTCGTTGGCTGGTTGCTGCTGGCACTGTGTGACTTGAACATAGTAGGACAGTGGCAAAAGAAATCAAATCTTTTTCACTGAGCAGCAAACTGTAATGAAATTTGACAGATCTGACATTCTATACCCAACATCTAGTTAGAATATATTAACCTTTTAGTTTTCTTGAGCTCTTCTCCTGCAAGTTACGAATCTTCTTATTAGAGTTTTGCGGTGGCTCCAGAGATGGCAGGAAAGCAGTAGGTGCTGGATGCCCTCTGATGTCAGAGCTAAAATAAATACTGGGCATGGTAAAGGAAACTCGGGGCTTATGAGTCCTCCCTACTTCTAATACAGGGAAAAAAAAAAAAAAAAGCAATAGAAATAATAGTGAATTTTCAGAATTTCGATAGTATTTCATTCCGGGAAGGAAAAAAATAACAAAAGTGAGATCCCACCCTCGCTTTTCAGTAAGCATATTTTATGGGTAGATTCTGTGTCCCCATCTTTGTGGGGAGATGTTAACTTGGCTACAGCTGCATCAAAACTGAATTTGTGGTTTTGGTTAATACTTTTTTTTAATTCTATGAATTTTCATTTTGCCAGATTTTTAAGATTTTGCCAGGGCAGCAGGGCTCCTTTCCCTGTGGAGGCTCCTCCCAGGAAGGAGCCTCATCCTTCACCATGCCCCTTTGCCTGTCTTAGTTCCCGGGTCACCCTTTTCCTGAGGCTGAGCCGGCCTCCCTCGGACCTTGAGTCAGGAGAGGAGCACAGTGAGATGTTAGCCTGGTTACAAAGCAGACTAGGAAACAGTTGTTTGTATTTAGACTTTTAAAAAAATCATTTTTACGTTCATTTACATTCTGGGTTGTTAGAGAAGAATTTTTATTTCATTTTCTTCAATGTTTGTATGTGCCATTCCTTCCTCCTCACTCCTTTCATCTGTTCCTCCTGTTCCTTTCAGACATGAAGTCACAGCACTGCGGCTGATGTCAGCGCGTCTCCATATTGACAGATCGTTCTGTCAGGAACAGGAGCTCGATGCTTGTTTCAGATGAGGCAAAAAGGGGATGCAGATGGCAAGGGGGAAAATCAGAGGAGTGAGTGGGGAGCAGGCAGAAACACCCAACCGAGAGCTCTGGGGGAAAACGCAGGGTCCGGGCAAAACTTTCCTGCTGAGGGGCTGGGACCTCTGTGCCTGGATCACGGAGCCGTGTCCCCTTGGGTGCCCAGTGAGAGCTTTAACCGTTGCGCCCGTTTTGGCTCGGGAGCCGTTGGAGGTGTAGGAGCAGGGATCACATGCTGCTTCTCGCCTTGTTTACGTCTTCAGCAACAGCCGATCCTCTTGACTGAAGGCAGGATTATAGGATTTCCAAAAGCCAGAACACACACTCGTCGTCCGCAACTTTGCAGAAGTTCAGGGGCGGTCCGGGAATCAACTGCCTGCTCTCATGTGGCGCTTGAACTAATTGTCACTGCTCCAGATAAGGAAATCCTCCTCGTAACTCGTCTCGGTTGGGGCTTCCCAAGGAAAATGCCTCCCAAATTAGGAACAGACCTAAAATCCCACTGTGCAGCCTGCTGAAAAGCAATTGCAAGTGAAGAAGTAGAGGGGAAAATAAAAAAGAGAGCCTAGAAAAGGGTTAATTAGCGATAGATACTGTGCAATTAACAGATAATCTAGCAAAACGTGCTCATATCCGAAAGATGTGTCTAGCACTGGGAGTTACAGGCAGTTCTGACGAGCTTCTTTTACCAGCGTGCCGAGGAGAAGCCAACATTTGGAGGAACTGCCCGCTATGCCAACTTTTCTAATGCTCTCATGCATTCGGTTTCCAGTAGGCTGTAAAATGCCAGCTTGATAGAGTCATCCGAATTAATATACTTTATTAGCCTTTTTTAGCCTACCTTCCTGCTTCTGTACCCTGGAGAGCCGGCGTGACCTTGGCCGGCTACAGGTGCGGCGGGGGTGCTCGCGCCACAGCAGGTAACTCGGCGCAGAAATTTAGGCAAAGGATTTTTGGACAGTTGGCCACTGCTCCAGGAGGAAGTCGGAAAGGAACTGGCAAGTGCTTCGATTCATTGCTTGAGGCCTAAAGCTGTCGGAAAACAAATCTCCTCTTCTTTAGCCCACAAACACATCCATCTAACTTATTTCCGATTTGAAATATCGCCCGTACATCGCAAGTATTTTTATTTCACAGCTGCCTCTGTACAAATGCCTGTGCAGCACGAAGGCCTTTTCTCTCTTCGGAGCAGATCTGGTTTAGAAGCAAACGTCTTTGTGGCTTATTAGTCTTTGGAAGGCATCGTTTTGTGCTCGTACCATTCAGAGGGAGCGTTGTGCAGAATGCTGATTGACAAGAGTTAAATTCAAAACATGTAGCCATTTTCTGGTGTGTGGTTTTTTTTTCTGATTGAAGGAAAACTACTTAGATGTTTGTTTCCAAAACGGCATCTGTCAGCAATCAAAGGGGAAAAATTGCATAAAACAAATGCAATTGTTTGGAGTAGCATTTCCTGGATCATGTTAAATGCTTGATTTGCTCCCCATTATGCTCACCAAATAATTTTATTTTCCACAATAATTGCAATATTTAACATGTTGTATTTAATCTTGTTTTAATGCTATTAACAACAGCCGCTTATGAAAGGAATAATTGCTCCGCGGGTAAGAACCCACCATCCCGGCCTGGAGCGAACAATGGCAAAGTTAACTGCACCTAATTGTCCTGAATTTAAACCGCTGCTAACCAAGAGCGCTCATCATTTCTTTGCACTTAACTATCAGGAGGGCAGTGTTTCCATGCTGCTGTCATTCATAACCTGAAAACTGTATGCTCAGCTAAAAAGCAGTATTTATTTATTCCGAGTGTTTGTAATTAATATTCTGAAGGAAAATCATATATTGGCGGAGGAAGATCTAAGTACCCTCAAAGCAGTGGTTAATGCAGCAATCAGGGCAGCGTTTGCCAGCGGGTCTGTAGCTACAGCGGGCACTAGAAAGCCACGAAGACGCAGATAGTGATTTATCAGAACTCGAGTGGACAGACACGCAGCACAACTGGCTATAAAATACTAAATAAATAATAAGGCGGGGGGGGAAGTTGTGTGGTTTGAGATGCAGGGAGAGCAGCATAAAATTGAATCTGACACTAGTTCAAAGGCGTTGTTACTTAAGGGTTGTTACTTAATCAGTTCACCTTATATTTTACGTGGTTACTTGGAGGGGTTTTCTCAAGTAAGCAGCAAGCAAGAGAAAGAGCAGGTAGCGCTGGCAGACCTGCAGTAACAGCAGACGATAAACACTTTGGCTGGCCACTGTGAGGACACCAGTCCCTGGCACAGGGGCTGGGTTTTTTTCCTGGATTCCGACTAAACCTTAACGCTTGCCGTGCTAGCCGGACTCTTTGCCATGAACAGCGGGGATGCTCTACCTGCTCCCGCACCAGAAAGGCACTTTGGGACTCTGGGCAGGGGCACAGATCGTGCGCAAATGTATTTTTTGCACACAAATATATTGTGGAATATATAGGTGGAAGCAAAGCCTAACCCTGGAGCGTCGCGTTTGCAGTTTGTGTTTGTCCTGAATCCCTGGCTTATCGTGTCACACATCACAGAAGTGCAGAGGTATTCCTGCAGCTCCGTGAAAGTCACTTCTGTGCTGCCCTGAATGACGGTTTTGTGGTCTGCACAGCCTGGACTGATACTTTGCTGCAGCCAAATAGTTAAACAGTTGTTGGTATACAAAACACTCAAGGGGAGAATTGTGCGCCCACGGGCTCCCCTTTTTGATGCAAAAAGAAATGGATATTGTTCAAAATAGAGCGGATATTTTTAATACATTTTTCCTCTTGTGTCCCAATAATGAAAAGATCTGCAGAGTGGCGTTTTTTTTGAGTGCGCGAGTTGGATCAGTCATAGCTCAATAGACCTCCGAAATATTCCTGGCAGGAGCCTGCCTGCCAGTTCAGAAGTTCATTTTTAGAGCACTCGAGGCGAGGAGCCGCTGCGGGGCTTGAAGTGCCCTATTATTAGGTGGTGCTGCTCGCGGCCCGGCACCCGGCGCAGCGTGCCACGGAACGGGGGGATTTGCATGGAAGACGCTCGGCACCGGGGTGGCACCCAGCTGCCAGCAAAGGAAGGAGCACAGTTGTCGCTTCCACAGCACGCAGTGGCAAACAGAGGTGGTAAAATGGATGAGCGTCTTGTCCTTCGTTTTCCGAGGCAGGATTTTAGCACTGAACACCAGCAGGATTTCCCAACTTTTCAAAACTGGCTCGGAGTTGTCTTTTCCCAAGCTGTCTGATGGTCCCTCGTATAAATGTGGGACATGGAGAACCCTGATGCCCAGGGAAGTCTGGCAGGAGGGAGAAGCAAATATCTTTGAGTCCCGGAGAGTTACTACCCGTTGATATTAGGAGTATAACATTGAAAACAAGTTTGAAAAATGCAGTAGCAAAACTATATTAAAAAAAAAAAAAGAGACAAGAAGGGACTTGTTTAGTTCTAAGGAGCACTTTAGCCCTCTGAGCCTCCATATGAAAAGTCATTCATTTAAACAGTGAGGTCTGATATCTAAAATCAAGAAGGAACAAAGAGCCAAAACTTTTAATGTCTCCCTTATTTAAAAAAAAAAAAAAAAAGAGGGGGGAATGTTTGATTCCTTCAGAAAGCTTCTGTCCCTGAGAGGCAGAATAAACTTCAGCAGTTCATACTTTTGCTTTGCCTTTCACTGCCTAAATCATGACACCCACAGATATTAAGAAATCATATATATAAAAAAAAAAAATTAAAAAAGGAAGAGAAATAGGAAAAAAAAAAAGAAAGGAAAGAAAAACACTCAATCTTCTCTTTTTTTTTTTTTGCTTTTTTTTTTCCCTCGGTCACGTACATGAGAAAAGTAGCTGCGATAAACAGATACTGAATCAGACTGCAAGTCTTTTTAAAAAAAAAAAAACCAAACATTGCATGATAGTCTCTAAGCAGTTCCATCTGTCAAGCAGAAATTTTAGGCTAATAGCCTGTGGCGATCTCCCTCCGCAGTCCACTACCTGCCTTTGTCCTATTAAATCTCTTTATTCTCCTTAAAAAAAAAAAGAAGGAAAAAAAAAAAAGAAAGAAGGGGGAAAGGAAAGAAAAACCTTGCAGACCAAAATCATCTGAGTGATGAAGCCCTAATTTTGGCCGCTTCGCTTTGATGTTGAGCAGTGGGTTCTTATTTAAAAAAAAAAAAAAAAAACAGGAGTGAGCGCGAGCGCGGGAGAGGGGGAGAGCGGAGAGAGGAGAAGACAGTGCTGGGAGCAGATGACTTTTCATCTCCACTTCACCTTGCCACCGGCTCTCCGAGAGATTGGTTCATTGTCAAGGAGATTTTTTTTTTTACCCATGATTCCATATGGGATGGAGCGGGCTACATGTTGCCCAACATGCCAGTGCAAATGTTTTCTCAATTAGGTGTCTTATCTCCCGTGAGTTAGCATCAGATGAAGCTTGCTGACAGCATAATGGCAGGGAAAACCTCCGACGGCTCCATCAAATGGCAGCTCTGCTACGACATCTCGGCCAGAACTTGGTGGATGGTGAGTTGGCAGCAGGGCTGCTTTTTTTTTTTTTTTTTTTTTTTCCCTCTCTCCCTTTTCTACTTTCCCTCCCTCTCTGACAAAATGTCCCAGACCTCACATTTATCAAATTAACATTTGAGTTTTTTCACGCTCCTCGCTGGAGCAGCCTCGCGCTTGCCCCACGCGCGCCCGCGGCCCCCCGTGCGACGGGAGACGCCGCCTGGGCACGGCAGCGGCCGCCGGGAAGCTTTTTTTGGGGGGAGGAAAAAAAAAACACAACAAAAAGTCTGCAAAGAAGGAGTTTGCAACAGCCTCGCGTGGAGCAGCTCGTCGCAGGCAGCCGCCTGACGCTCACTTTGTTTTACTTTATCTGCTGCTCGCGAGCGTCCGTCCGTCCATCCGTCCGCGTGCGCTTTCGCCAGGCAGCCTTTTCTAACGAGGGAGGTGGGAAGTGCAGTAGAGGCCGAGCTAAAGTCCGCAGCGGCGCGTCCGTGTCGGGGCCGAGCGGCCACGTGTGGCTCCTGCAAGGTAGAGCCTCTCCTCGGAGACCCCTCCGGCTTCTGCCGCCGCCTGCTCGCGCTGGAGCAGGTTACGGCTCTATTAGGAGCCGCCGCCGCGTGTTACGGATCCCACGTAACGTGGCGCGGGCTGCGCTGGGGGGCAATTAAAGTTCCCATAAAGTTGCAGCGGGCTCCGCAGGACGAGTTAACTGGCATGTCGTGGTCAGCCGGGCCAGACAACCTTTGACATCCCGAATCTATACGAGGTAGGGAGAGTTGGGAGGATGCACAATAGCCCATTGTGGCAGGAGATGCAAGTCCCGTTGTGAGGAGGAGAGTCCTCGAGTCATTACTGCCCTCGTTAGCGTGTTGTCCGTTAGGGATTAATTCGTTAGCGGGGCATTTTTAGTTTTCTGTAATTATTATTCTTGCGGCAAGCGTGAATTCTCCCAGCGAGAGGAAAAGTTTGCTGCCAGGACAATGCCTGTATTATCCGCTCCTAACTGGACCGTGAACCTCCGCTCGTTTCACATAGATATCAGTTAAAAAAGGACCGGCGAGTGGAATTACAAAACGCGCCGCGATCGGTTTCATTGTACGCGGCGCCGCGGCGAGCCGGGCTCCCCCCGCGCCGCCCCGCACCCTTTGGGGTGTCGGTTGGGAAGTTTTAAGACCTCCGAGGACTTGAAAGACTTTCAAAAAGCGCGATCCGGAAGGTTTTTATCCTGCAACGTGGTGGTGGCCATTGTGCGGCTCATGTGGCTTGTGTTTCAAGGTGTTTGGGCTTTGGGGGTTTTTCGTTTTGTTTTGTCTCAACTCTTAATTTTTTAACCGTCTATTAGAGGTTTCCCAGTGGTTGCCAGTGAAACGTAACGTGCAGCTTGCGGGGAATGGGAACGGCGCAGGGCTAACCACTCTACTTATACTACTGATTTTCCAATTAGACTTTCTGCCAGGGGAACTTGGAGGGGGAAGGGATATTTGCATGCACATAAACTGTTGACTATTCATGTGACTTCTTTTTTTTTTTAAAGCTTGTTAAATCCCTGTAAATCAGTCTATTGATTCTTAGTTATCGTTTGCAAAGTTTTAAACTGTCGGTTTTTAGCTGCACCCTTTCTGTCATGTTGTGTTTTTACCTGCTTCTAAGTAATATTTGTGTATTTTATTAGCAGTCCTCTTTTCTTGCCTCGCAAGAAAAAGCATCCTGCTTTCAGGATGAGGTGTGTCAATGTTTATTATTTAATAAGCATCCCCAAACATTATTAGACCACTACTCCCCCCTTCTAGAAAGTATGCGCGGAAGTTTCATTTCAGTCACATGTATTTCACAGATGTTTCAGCACTGTGAATATATATGTAAAAATGCTGGAAACATTTAGTAATGCACTTGCCTAAAAATAAACAGTTTTATAACTACACATGCTGTTGTTTAGATTAAACATTGCAGAAAGTTCGCCTTCAACTTGAACGTCACACCATTTATTTTCTAAGAGAACGACCCCCCCCCATAGCCTTTTCTGTAGAAGTTGTGCTACACGATAGAGATGTTATTTTTAACTGAAATGAATAATTCACGATCCTTACAATAGATGTGTTAATTGCAAATAATTTTCATCCAAAGTTTCAATTATTGATGGAGTAATAAGCAGTAATTTTACACAGTCTGTGAGTCCGAAATGTAAAACAAGAAAGGAGATAGCTATTATTTTTTAACCCCCCAAATCTCAACACGTTTGCCACGTCCTGTTAAACCAAGGTAAGCCAAGGAGCAGATTTTAAGGTTTTAAAGACAAATAAAGCGTTGATAATTACCTCATGCCTGGTGTGGCTGCACAGAATCTCGCTGCACAGAGCTAAACTTCGGGCTGGTACTGCCAGCATACAAAGAGATGCGTGAATGCCCCGCGCACCCATATGGACTCAGCTGCCAGCACTGGGATATGCAATTTTGCTTTTTAATGAATCGTAAACAATTTGTGTGTCAAATGAGCGAGTTGCGTTTGCTTTCCGGAGCAGGGTCTAACTTGGTTTAAAGCTATAGCTGGGTGCTCTACGGGAGCAGGATGCCCAGTTTTAAGGGTTCTGTGTCATTTTGATGAAAGGACCTGTTATAATGAAAGAAACAGCTTTATAAAAGGCTGGCTGTAGTAATCTCGCTTGCTTGCTTGCTTGCTTTCTCCCTGTCTCTCCTCTGTCTCTCAAGCTCACACTCTCCCTCTTTCACGCCACTCTATAGCGTGTTTATAGCTGGCGAGCTGCAGATAATGGAGATTGGACGATCGCATGATTAGGAAAATGAATGGACTTGGTCGCGGGGCAGAGCAGCTCGCAGTTGTGAAAGGTGCCTTGCAAACGCAGTGTTCTCATTTTGACCTTATTTTCTTTCATGAATAATCTGTACTAATGCTTCTTTAATTCATTTCTCCTCGTCGCAGCTAGTTTTTCTCTCTGATGGAATGGCTAATCTATTTTATTTTACTTGCCAAAATAGTGAAAGGTCATGGCAAAAGAAAAAAATGTTATTTTCCTTTCTCTTAGCCAATTATAAATGTTTCGGACTATTTCTGCAGCACCCAGAGGATTTGTACGTTTTAACAGTCATTACATTTGTCACCACAGTTTATAATGAGTCTTTTAGAAAGCCAATCTGTTCTTCTCATGCTTCAAACATGTAAGTGCAGAAATAGTTATTATTTTGGCTTTATCATAATGTGACATTTTAGCGGAAAACTTCCCCAAAATACTGTGTATTTGCATAAGAAGGAAATCTGTATTTTTATATGTTCAAATATATTAGCAGAGCAGACTGAAGCTATCCTACAATCTCTTTTTTTGAAGAAATGATCTTTTTTTTTAGTTACTGACTGGCACTTCTTACTTAAATTGGATGCTGTCATAGAGACACTAAAGGGTTAGTCACGCAAAAGTTCCGGGACTCTGCCTCGCATTTGTAACAAATATGTGCAGCTGGGCTACTTTTATAAATATTTATTTCAAGTTGATTATTTTTTTAATTATTTGCTCTAGCAAGCCAATATGATGTGATTATTATATATGATTAATAAGGGATTGTCTGCAAAATTCCTTTGCGTTGGAATATTGAAATATATGCAAAGCAAAAGTAGATATTGGAGAAAAATGCTCAATGGCAACACAAAAATAAAGACCCTGGGCCAAATCCTGCTCCCGTTTACGCTAGCACCAGCCACTAAGAGAGGTGGAGTGAGTCCAGATTTACCTGCCTGAGCCTGGGAACAAACTTGGACCCATAAATTGCGGATCTCACTGCAAACAGTTTTGAAACCCAAACCATTTTCCATTGCAAAATATCTGAAGAGAAAAAGCTTCATTAATAAATAAGGAGCCCTTTCAAATGCCTCCCTCTATGAGTTAACATGCAAACTGCTGTTATCGAAGGCGAGAGTTAGGCAGATCTGTCAGTCATTTTCCAAAATAATTGTCTTCTTCTTTATTCTTCAGCTACCAATCCATATTTCAGCTTTTGAATCCTTTTTTCTTTAGGTGCCATCAGTAAAGCAATCATTTGGTAAAGAGGCTAGGGTTAGACTTGATATGTTCATTTTGTTCCTTTAAATGTTTTAAAGCAGCAGCAGTTTGTTACTGAAGCTCTCGGTAAGAACTTGTTTCGTGCCCCCGCGCTGCCTGTTTTCAGAGGGGTAGCTGGAAGAGCTCAGGCTATTTCTGCTGTTGGAAGAATGAAAATTTCAAAGTGCTAGTAGCATTTACTCAATTAAAAATTAATAGCATTCTCAATATAAATCTCACTGCAACTGAGATTAAAAGTGGCGGTGCATTTAATAAACGTTTTATTTAATTTCACCATATGGGGAGCTGGCTGTTGCTCTTGATGCTAAAAAAGTCCGGAAGCAAGAAACTCCCAGATCAGTATTTCTTATTTCAAACCCTGAGTGTATCTGTGTATATATGTGTGCTATACATGTATTCTCATCCCTCGTACATGGTAATCCCCTCATGCTGCTGGGCTGCACAGGGCTCTGCTAGGCTGTGCTTTCTCCTTATCATTTACTGCATATCAAAAAACATACCTGTATTTATAATTATCCTTGACCTGCCCTTATAAAAACAACAAAGTGTGAACAAAGTCACATTGCCACATGGATTTCATGGTTTTAAGGAGCAATGATGAATGTTCAAATGCTGCTCAGCTGTGGCAGAAATGTTGTTATTCAAACTCTTCCTTCCCCGTCAGAGGTGCTGTATTCCGCGTATAGGCCAAGCACTGCGTGCACTCTATAGTGTCCTGCTTTTCCATACTCATCCTCCTGCCTGCAAGGATTTGTCCTGGTGCTTTTCTGTTCATTTTCCTTCACCTGTCCCGCATATCTCCACGAATGGTTCTAATTTAAAGCCAGAGGAGTCAGTGGCTGATTAGAAGACAGGAAATTGGAGGATTAAACTGTCTGGTTGAACTTCCTTTACTTATCAGTACTGTGTAACTTACCCAGGATTATAAACTCAATGGGACAATTCCTGCAATGTATTGCTACTTCTGTTTTCTTAATTTTTAATTTTCCAAGGAAAGTCTAAAAATGGGTAGTTCATGGCCACAGACCAGTATTTTTTACCAAACTGAACTGATGTCACTCCAGTTTAGATTTGGCTGAAGGTCTTTGGCTATGCAGCTTCGCTCCATCTCCAGCTCTGTAGCTGATAATCTATATTTTAAATTAAGTTCATTACGTAAACAACCAAGCAACAGATACTTTCGGGGAGGGGGCGGGAAATGACATCAGCGTGAGAGGAGCCGGCACCGCGTTAACCCTTGTGCCGCCCTCGTGCTCGGAGCGCCCGGGCTCGCTGCCGCGGGACCTGACGGCACAGGGACACAGGCGGCGGCTCCGGGCGCTCCATGCGCGCCGGGAAGGGCTCGGAGTGCTGTCCCCACCAAGGAGAGGCTGCTGGGCACCCTCCAGGGCTGCTCGCCTCTCCCTGTTGGCACCCCTAACCTAGTGGGGGCCACCAAAAAAAGTGGTATCTCGAGGAGGAGGCCTGTCCTGCGGCGGCAGAGGGAACTCAACTGAGTTACACTCGCCCTGAGGCTCCTCTCAGCCCCTGCTCACCATTCCCAACCCCCTCAGCCTTGCACGCTCACTGTGATCAGCTCTGAACAGGGATCTGGAAGTGCTGGTGCTCTGGTGGACACAAGGCCTCTGAGGAAGCTAAAACACAGGCTGCCCGAAAGGTCTGAGCCCTGGTCTGAGTCCTTGGCTGTGGCACTAACCATGTACCTGAGTTTAAGCACCGGGAGGGGATACCTGAACTGACGGGGACGCGTGTGATGACGTCCAGCATCGTGATCCCGGTACATCGGGCAAGACCGCCACCAGTACAGGGGGTAATTGCAGGTGGAGGTGAAAATAAAGAATATCCTGGGAGGTTTTGCTGCTTCATTCCACATGGTTCCCGTAAGGATGAAACATTCTGAAACTCTTTATAGGTAAGGAGGTAAATACCTGCTTTCTCTGCAGGGAAAAAGGAACGGAAAAAGGTAGCTGACGCCTGTGGTGTCTCGAGAGGTCCCTCGAGCTTAATCCCAGTGTGGAAAGGCTCTTGGAGCCCTGCTAGGAGCACACTCTGCTTCCCCCCAGTTCCCTGTGCCCTAAATGTGACCATTGGCACTGACAGTATCCAAAGAGGATTTTAGGATGAATCAAGTTGAACTTTTTTGTTGTTGATTTTGAAGACAAATATGCTGTTTCATAAAACCATGACTTCCTTTGGTAATACCTTTGCCTGGTTGCCACTGCCATTGATTTCCCTGGGAGCATCTTCTAGGTGAGCAGGGCAGGACCGGCCCTGAGCACATGAAGTGTCGAAGCTCCGTGCTCACCGTGCACCTTTACACACAGCCGGCCAGGCGAGCAAAGAGCCACAGGCCCAGGGCATCCCAGAGCCCTCGCAGCAGCCCTGCGAGCCCTGCGGAGCAGGGCTGCCCGATCCGGCCCCGGGGCCGGCACCAGCACCGGCCCGGCCTGCGGTTCTGCACAGGCACCATCCTCTTTATAGCCCCTGTAGGAAAGACCAGCGCATCCATTCTCCACGTAAGGGACTTCTGAAAAGCAGTTTGGGGTAAGCTGACATTACTAAAGCAGGCGAAATAGCCGTATAGACTACAGCAGTGAGATTCAAAATATTTTGCCTGTACCAGCATATCTGTTGTTCTTTGGGTTTGTTGTTTTGTTTTTTCTTTTTTCTTTTTTTTCAGAAGGCTGTGAAACGTAAAGTTAGCAATACAACTAGATATGGGTGGGAGTGTTGGATAGTACAGATGGCACTAGAGGCTCGTAGACTTTTACTACCAGTAATTGCAGTGCCCTTGCTTTCGAAGGAGCGCGCGCTGCCCTTGATGTACACAAACAGCCATATTAATTTCACAGCCCAATTGGAACTGCAGACGTGGAGTGAGGTTGTCAATAGGAGCGAAGTAGAAATTGAGAGCAGCGTTTGACTTCCCCGCTTCAGACACCGCCGACTCAAAAGACACAGGCTGTACGTGGTCACCAGCAGAGACCTACTGAGTGAATTAGAGGGGAGGTTTTTGTTTGTTTGTTTTAATCCAGAATTCAGCTGAGCTGGAGAAATCGGACTGGATTCTGCGCAGAAATATGCTACCTTTCAGAAAGCATCATCCTTCCTGGTGCAGCAGAAGCTGAAAGTAGAGCATGGCCTTATGGTTTGTGCAAGTGTGAAGAGGATTCCAAATGTGACCCAAATTAACTTTCTATGTATGTTCTACGCGAAAGAAGAAAAACTGCCCAATTTGGTGGCTCATTCAGCTTGCTTTTATGTTTACTGCCAGGACTAGAGAGCAGCAGCAGGTGTGTGCA